ATTTGCTTTAGAACGAACAGTTCGTGATATCTGACATGGCAACAGCGTTCAGTCTTGATGGCCTAGCGTCCTCTCATCCAATCAAAGTCGACGTCAATCACCCTAATGAAATCAACGAGATATTTGACTCCATTTCTTATAACAAGGTATGGGATCCCTGTGGTGATAGTTACTAACTGATGGTATACCTGTGGTGATGGTCATGATTTGATTGGACGTTTCTATTGGTTACTAAGTTTAGCTATGGGAATGGTTGCTAAGTAACAGTAACCATRGTGATTGTCTAAAAAATTTACTTTTTTTCCCCCACAGGGTTCAAGTATACTGCGCATGCTCGAAAGTATTTTAGGAAAACCTACGTTTGTGTCAGGTTTGACGGTGGGTCGAGTATAGTGCGTGACTTACAGTGTTGTCACGTGATACCAATAGTGTGACGTGGGTGTACATTGTGTGACAGTTATCTTGTGTGCAAGCTAATAAGCAATTATATAAAACATTAACTCCAAGCATGTCAGAGTTGTGTGACAGAGAGTGACTGAGAGCAAGTAGATTACATGACTGTGATATTATATAATGTAATGCGTGACGATGTCTGCGTGACRTATGATCTCACAAAATAGTGTCGTTAAATATTTTTTAACCTTTTTGACACAGAACTACCTCAGAAGACATGCCTACGGGAACGCAGTAACAGATGACTTGTGGAACGCCCTAGAGAAGGTAAGAAATGACGGACGGTCCACCTAGATCTACCTTTCTTTGCCACTATAAAATTCAATTCAGCATGTGAAGAAAAAAAAACTACCCCTTACCCTCCCCTCCCATAACATACTCACAACCTGACAAAAACAAAATCCATGTTTTAGTGAMCGAAAGTCATGGACGGACCAAATAATTTTTTTCACAGGAGAGTTGTTCAAGAGGCAAGTGTATTCCTGTCAAGCAGATCATGGATACGTGGACGCTACAGATGGGTTACCCYGTGGTTGMAATGAAGAAGAAAGATGGTACCCACTATACGATGACTCAGAAACACTTCCTTTATGACCCGAGTGCTAATGTTAGTGCWTCAAAGTACAAATCGCCCTTCAAGTAGGTGCACGTTGTAAAATRATATGACAATATTTATTGATAAATAATTGGCATCATTATCATCAGCCATCATCATAAACTTTGTCATCATCTCGTTCAGTATAACATCATCATCATCACCATCGTCATTATCATCGTCACCACCACCACCATCGTCATCATTATCATTACCATCATCATCATAATCATTACCACCATCATCATCATAACCATCATTATCATCACCATCGTAATCATCACCATGATCACCAACATCATCATCACCACCACCACCATCGTCATCATAATCATTACCACCATCATCATCATAACCATCATTATCATCACCATCGTAATCATCACCATGATCGTCAACATCATCATCACCACCACCACCATCGTCATCATTATCGTAATTATCATTAATAAGGATATTTATTTATATATATCGAAAACTCAATATGGCATTTTCAAATGCGCTTTGATCATTATCACAAATATCATCATCACTATCATTATCATTATCGCCGTTATCAACATCGACCATTCTTTTTAAAATCACTAATTTTTCTGTCCTCTTTTCCTTTCCTGTAGCTACAAGTGGGTCATTCCTTTCACATACAAGACAAGTGCGCAAGCGTCACCCCAGAACGTCTTCC